TGGGTAACCTACAAACAGTTTGAACTATTGGGCTTCCTGTGCTGGCTGAAAAATATTATGGTTTTGGTCTATCTGTGCTGCTTGAAAAAATTTGGGTTTTGGGCTTCCTGTGCTTGAAAAAATTTATGGTTTTGGGCTTCCTGTGCACATGAAAAAATTTTTGGTATTGGGCTTCCTGTGCTAGCTGAAAAAATTTGGTTTTTGGGCTACCTGTGGTACATGAAAAAATTTGGGTTTTGTGCTTCATGTGTACATGAAAAAAATTTGGGTTTTGGGCTTCCTGTGTACATGAAAAAAATTTGGGTTTTGGGCTTCCTGTGTCCATGAAAAAATTTGGTTTTGGGGCTTCCTGTGTACATGAAAAATATTTGGGTTTTTGGCTACCTGTGGTACAAGAGAAAAATTGGATTGTTGTCTTCCTGTGCTGCCTGAAAAAATTTATGGTTATGGGCTTCCTGTGCTGCCTGAAAAAATTTTGAGTTATGGGCTTCCTGTGCTGGCTGAAAATAATTTGCTTTTTGGAATTCCTGTGTACATGAAAAAAATTTGGGTTTTTGGCTTCCTGTGTACATGAAAAAAATTTGGTTTTGGGCTTCCTGTGTACATGAAAAATATTTGGGTTTTGGGCTACCTGTGGTACAAGAGAAAAATTGGATTGTTGTCTTCCTGTGCTGCCTGAAAAAATTGTGTTATGGGCTTCCTGTGCTGCCTGTGCACATTGAGGAATTACGGGTGTTTCTCGCCGCATCTCCTGAAATTGATATCCTGGCAATCAATGAAACAAAATTAGACTCTACCATTATGGATTCTGAGTTACATATAGAGGGTTTCGATATTGTCAGAAAATATCCATCTCAGAATGGTAGAAACGGAGGAGGCGTATGTATTTACATGAGAAACAACCTGAGTTATCAAAGACGCGACGAGACTTTGATGATGGGATCTTAGAACTCATCACTATAGAAATCTTTAAGCCACGATCAAAATCATTCTTAGTTAGTACTTGGTATCGCCCTCCCAACTCACCCCTCGAGTTATTCACGACATTTGAAAAGCTCACAGATAGCATTGATAAGACAAATCTCGATTATTATTTGTTAGGTGATATAAATTGCGATCTCTTAGAACTAACGAGAACGAACCTAGCTTCAACTAATTTAATTGATGTTTTGGATATCTATGGGCTTTATCAGCTATTAAGTGAGCCAACACGTGTAACGCATAACACTAAACCATTAATTGACTTATGTGTGACAAACACTCCCGACAAAATTAGTAAGTCAGGTGTGTATCATTTTGGCATCAGTGATCACTCTCTAGTATTCATGACGAGAAAAATTCATTACGAGCCATCAAAGGCTCACAAAATTGAGGTACGTAACTTCAGAAATTTCGATCAAGACAAATTTTTGAGTGATCTCAAACAACTGCCATGGTCAGACATCAAGTCTTACGATGATCCGAATGATATGTGGATTCGCTGGAAAACCTTGCTAACCAAGTGTATTGATTCCCACCTGCCTGTTCGCCACAAGCGTGTGGGAAGGAAAAGCTCACCATGGATCACAACGGAGCTAATATAGAAAATGCGGTCACGTAACCAATTGAAAAGGAAAGCAATTTCCACTGACAGTGACTTATTTTGGAAAAAATACAAAGAATCGAGAAACAGGATTAATAACGAAATTAGATTAGCGAAGAAAAAATACTTTACGGAAAATTTAGCACTAAATAAATCTGATC